ATCCTGTACGGCCCGCAACCTTACATGGGATTTTAGTTTTGGCCCGCAACCTTATATGTGATTTGAGTTTCGGCCCGCCGAGCAATTGAGTTTGACACCCCTGGTCTAGTCATTCCCATTGATCTAGTCTATCTCATTGATCTAGTTAATCCTGTCTGTCCCATTGATCTAGTCTGTCCCATTGATCTAGTCTGTCCCATTGATCTAGTCTGTCCCATTGATCTAGTCTGTCCCATTGATCTAGTCTGTCCCATTGATCTAGTCTGTCCTGTTTATCTAGTCTATTCCATTGATCTCGTCTATCTCATGGATCTAGTATGCCCCATTGATCTAGTCTGTCCTATAGATCTAGTCTGTCCGATTGATCTAGTCTGTTCCATTGATCTAGTATGTCTAATTGATCTCGTTTTTCCTATTGATCTAGTCTGTCTCATGGATCTTGTCAGTCCCATTGATCTAGTATGTCATAAAGACTTAGTCTATCCTATTGATCTAGTCCATCCCAATGATCTAGTTTATCCCATTGATCTAGTCCATCACATGGATCTAGTCTGTCCCATTGATCTAGTTTGTCCCTTGGATCTAGTATGCACCAAATCTAGTCCGTCCAAATGATATAGTCTATCCCATTGATCTAACCTGTCCTAATCACCTATTATATCCTAGGGATCTAGTTTATCCCAGTGATCTAGTCTATCCCATTGTTCTAGTCTGTCATTATGTCGTAATGAAGGTATCCATATGAAACACAAAGTTTTGAGTTTGTAAAACCTTGCGTTTTTTCCGAATTATAAATCTCTTTAACGACATTATCAATGAGAAACGTTTCACGGCAAATCATAATGATATCCCAAGTCTCCAAAACAAGCACAGAATTGTCTTTACCACAGAAATGTGATCATTGCCCCTCGTTTTAGTTTCCCATCAATATATAAAAACTTAAAGTCATTTTCATTATTTTAAATGTATGAATACTTGAGTCCGAGGAGAAATGCTTTTAGCTGAAACAATTATTGCTTTTTGTGTTCTGTTTTGGGTTCTGAGTACAGACTAATATACTCAGATGTTACCATATAGCTTGGTGATCTCTTCAGCCTTTTATTTTTGAGCACCGTGATATGTTCTTGCCAAAGCAATCACGTATATCTGATCTAATCCACGTATCTTCACCAAATTTCTGCTAACATTAAATGGTCCTAGTCTGTTGGTTTGGGAATAACTTTGCAATGCTTATCTCTGGTTCGCTAACATTCGCTTTACAGCTTACTCTGATAAATTATTTTATCAGGTGGATTCCCGCGTTAAAATTTTTTTAAGTAAGTGTTCCCAAAACCTTAAGATGGGGCGAAAAAAAAGATTGGAGGATCAGACTGAGGCCGTTTAATAACAGTGCAGGCGTGTGTTATAAACTATTCAATAACAGTGCAGCCGTGTGTTATAAACTATTCAATAACAGTGCAGCCGTGTGTTATAAACTATTCAACAACAGTTCAGCCGTGTGTTGTAAAATATTCATCAGATAATTAAATCAATAAAGAAATTTATTATTAAAAAAAAGAAAATAAATATTATTTTCCTTGAGGTTCCAATGCTAAGAGTGTTTGTTAGTCAAGATTAGTTCCCATGTTTGTCAGTCAAGATTAGTTCCCATGTTTGTCAGTCAAGATTAGTTCCCATGTTTGTCAATCAAGATTAGTTCCCATGTTTGTCAATCAAGATTAGTTCCCATGTTTGTCAGACAAGATTAGTTCCCATGATTGTCAGTCAAGATTAGTTCCCATGTTTGTCAGTCAAGGTTACTTCCCATGTTTGTCAGTCAAGATTAGTTCCCATGTTTGTCAGTCAAGATTAGTTCCCATGTTTGTCAGTCAAGGTTACTTCCCATGTTTGTCAGTCAAGATTAGTTCCCATGTTTGTCAGTCAAGGTTACTTCCCATGTTTGTCATTCAAGATTAGTTCCCCATGGCCTTTAATAAACCCTCACCCAGGATATCCACGTGGCATACAAGGGGAGGTCTGAAGCGATGTATGCATGTGGGATCACTGGGTTGTTTGGTGGGGCTAAATGAAGTTTTTTTTTCCAGAAAGAAATCTAAATTTTCTTTCAGTGGCATGATGAATTAGTTTGAGAAAAGCTATAAGAGTGGAGATTGGGGCGAAGGGGTGCTGGGGGAGAGTGTCTAATTCACGTGTTTTGTTTCCAAAAGTAAATGAAGGAAAATTCTAGCATAATGATGAGGCTTTGGGAAAAAGAAATTTCCACATTTGCATCACCGTTTTTTTTTCCTTTTCAACCGCGATGAACTGCCCAAAGATTTGGCTTTGATCCATTGCTGTCATTATGATGTCTCACAAAGATGCTTTTTTTTTTTTTAACACTTGTGGAGATGAGAATTTTATTTTAAAAGTTTCCCAAGAATCATGAAAATATTTACGCTAGAAGGATGGTGAGAAATGTGTTCTGTATGTGTATAACATGAAGACAATAAATAAAAATATTTAAATTTTAAAATATCCTGAAGTCAGTAAACAATTACATGAAGTAGTGGCCATACTTATTCAGGCCAACTTTTAGTATATATATCCTTGTGTTTATATCTTTCTATATGACGCCCTTTGTGTTTCTTTATTTCTATATGACGCTTTTTTGTGTTTCTTTGTTTCCATATGACGCCCTTTGTGTTTGTTTGTTTCTATATGACGCCATTTGTGTTTCTTTGTTTCTATATGACGCACTCTGTGTTTCTTTGTTTCTATCTGACGCCCTTTGTGTTTCTTTGTTTCTACATGACGCCCTTTGTGTTTCTTTGTTTCTATATGACGCCCTTTGTGTTTCTTTGTTTCTATATGACGCACTCTGTGTTTCTTTGTTTCTATATTACGCCCTTTGTGTTTCTTTTTTTCTATATGACGCCCTTTGTGTTTCTTTGTTTTTTTGTGATTATATGACGCCCTTTGTGTTTCTTTATTTCTATATGACGCTTTTTTGTGTTTCTTTGTTTCCATATGACGCCCTTTGTGTTTGTTTGTTTCTATATGACGCCCTTTGTGTTTCTTTGTTTCTATATGACGCCCTCTGTGTTTCTTTGTTTCTATCTGACGCCCTTTGTGTTTCTTTGTTTCTATATGACGCTCTCTGTGTTTCTTTGTTTCTATCTGACGTCCTTTGTGTTTCTTTGTTTCTATATGACGCCCTTTGTGTTTCTTTGTTTCTATATGACGCCCTTTGTGTTTCTTTGTTTCTATATGACGCCCTCTGTGTTTCTTTGTTTCTATATGACGCCCTTTGTGTTTCTTTGTTTCTATATGACGCCCTTTGTGTTTCTTTGTTTCTATATGACGCCCTTAGTGTTTCTTTGTTTCTATATGACGCCCTTTGTGTTTCTTTGTTGCTTTATGACGCCCTTTGTGTTTCTTCTTTTTTTATATGACGCCCTTTGTGTTTATTTGTTTATATATGACGCTCTTTGTGTTTCTTTGTTTCTATATGACGCCCTCTGTGTTTCTTTGTATCTAGATGACGCCCTCTGTGTTTCTTTGTTTCTATATGAAGCCCCTTTGATTTTCTTTGTTTTTATATGACGCCCTTTGTGTTCCTTTGTTTCTATATGACGCCCTCTGTGTTTCTTTGTTTCTACCTGACACCCTTTGTGTTTCTTTGTTTCTATATGACACCCTTTGTGTTTCTTTTTTTTATATGACGCCCTTTGTGTGTCTTCTTTTTTTTATATGACACCCTTTGTGTTTCTTTGTTTCTGTCTAACGCCCTTTGTGTTTCTTTGTTTCTATATGACGTACCTTTGTCTTTCTTTGTTTCTATATGACGCCCTTTGTCTTTCTTATTTTCTAGATGACGCCCTTGTCTTTCTTTGTTTCTAGATGACGCCCTTAGCGTTTCTTTGTTTCTATATGACGCCCTTTGTCTTTCTTTGTTTCTATATGACGCCCTTAGTGTTTCTTTGTTTCTATATGACGCCCTTTGTTTTTCTTTGTTTCTATATGACGCCCTTTGTGTTTCTTTGTTTCTACATGACGCCCTTTGTCTTTCTTTGTTTCTAGATGACGCCCTTTGTTTTTCTTTGTTTCTATATGACGTACCTTTGTCTTTCTTTGTTTCTATATGACACCCTTAGTGTTTCTTTGTTTCTATATGACGCCCTTTGTTTTTCTTTGTTTCTATATGACGCCCTTTGTGTTTCTTTGTTTCTATATGACGTACCTTTGTCTTTCTTTGTTTCTATATGACGCCCTTAGTGTTTCTTTGTTTCTATATAACGCCCTTTGTTTTTCTTTGTTTCTATATGACGTACCTTTGTCTTTCTTTGTTTCTAGATGACGCCCTTTGTCTTTCTTTGTTTCTATATGACACCATTAGTGTTTCTTTGTTTCTATATTACGCCCTTTGTGTTTCTTTGTTTCTATATGACGCCCTTAGTGTTTCTTTGTTTCTATATGACGCCCTTTGTGTTTCTTTGTTTCTATATGAAGCCCTTTGTGTTTCTTTGTTTCTATATGACGCCCTTTGTGTTTCTTTGTTTCTATATGACGCCATTTGTGTTTCTTTGTTTCTATATGACGCCCTTTGTCTTTCTTTGTTTCTATATGACGCCCTTTGTCTCTTTGTTTCTATATGACGCCCTTAGTGTTTCTTTGTTTCTAGATGACGCCCTTGTCTTTCTTTGTTTCTAGATGACGCCCTTAGTGTTTCTTTGTTTCTATATGACGCCCTTTGTCTTTCTTTGTTTCTATATGACGCCCTTAGTGTTTCTTTTTTTCTAGATGACGCCCTTTGTGTTTACTTATTTCCAAATCACAAGTGGCGTCTCGCTATAAAAAAAAATCCTAGACGTGATGGAACAATGACCTCCCTTAACTTCTTACCCCCCCTCCCCCACTCCCCCCTTTTTTCATCTTTACAACACGTATACACAATACACATTATTTTATGTACATATAACTGAATACTGCCTCCGTCATAAAGATAAAAAAAACAAAGGATTACATACATACGGAATTTATTTTCAATTGTATTATATTGATATCAAACATCATGTCCAATTTGGCAGTTATTATGTATCTATTGTTCACAAACCTACACAAACAGTTTTATATCATTGCATTACATGTGTATTTTTATTTATTTTGTTTCATTTGAAAGGAGTATATGGTTAAGACTAACACTGTCAAGACTAACATACGAAATAAACAAATATAATTGTTTGCAAATTCTTATAGTGGAACTTTATTTAGTCAAACATAAATTTAAACCATTTATTAGTGTATCACATAACATGTTGGACTTGATTGACTGGCGTGGTAAGCTATCGGCTAACCAATACTTCACCGGCGACTCGTGAACGAGTCCATTTAAATTGTCAGAAACATTTCCGTCATGTGTACACGTCAGAATAACTTTTTGTTCTTTCTTGCAGCAAAGTCATGGTCAAAGTCATAGTCACAGTCAAATTCTAGGTCACAATTACTCATCATCATGCTTAATGATTGATGAACAATGTTATATATATATATGTATAGACATAAGAGAAGTCGGTTTTCAGCTTGGTTGACTAGAAGCCTTCACACACGTCATTAATGGAGTCAAATGCTCAATATAATAGTTTGATTCGATATAATATGTTAAATATGATGCAAGCGCTATTACGTTTTAAATGCGTCTCTAACGGTGACGAAGTGGGTTCTCATTCATAGTGAGTTGCTGATCAAGAGCTAACGTAACATATCGCGTTTGCTGTTCTAAGCAGTGTAAGATGCACTCTAGCTTGATTGCACGTGGCTAGCGGCTTGGGAAAAAAAAAAAAAAAAAAAAAAAATTTTGGGCCACCACGATTAAAAATAAGCTGAGCCATGTGAAGCCACTACGGACTGAAAACAGTTCAGTAGTCATTACTATTTATTCTTAAAATAACATCCAATAAACACGTTTACTCTAGCGTAGTTAGAGGCCGACCGAATTTTGTGTTTTGGCTTTGACGTCGAAACATGCCTTATGATAATTTTCGGAGTGGTTTCGGTTCCAGTCAAAAGAGAAAAGCTAACTTTCGGTTTCTGCCGAAAGGGATTTAGGCCTCCGGTAGTCTACCAGAAGTCAGACTTTCACTCTGTCTGTTGGCCGGCAATCCAAAATTCATTTCTGCTTGACGTCTTGCTGTCATAATATGACATGCCCGATGCAAAAACTGCTCACAGCTGCATGATGACATACTTCTCCAATAAAAAAAAAAAAATTACAATTAGGCTTAAATAAAGGTAAACAGTTTTGTGGAAAAAAAAACTAAGGGAATGATAATATTTATATTATAATTTTTGCGATAATTTACCTAGTTAAAATATATCTTTCGGGTTTCAGTGTCGTAAAGCTTTTGGTTTCAGCTTCGGTTTCAGCATTTTTAACTTTCGGTTTGCTTTCGGCCTAAACCAGAAAAGAACATTCTGTCGGCATCTAATCGAAAGTTTAAATTTGTGTTCTACATTCCGAGTTTGTTAGATACGTTGCCAATAACTAGTAGAAAGTTCAATGAACATACATGAAGAAAACGACAATGCAGGTCTCCAAATACCTATTAATTGACTAGCTTCATTGAGCTGTATTGTATTTCTCCCACTCACTCTTCAAGCTGTGAACGCCATACAGATAGCTACGCGGCTGTCCACAGCTGACACAAATGAATAACATCTTCAATTTGAAGTGCAGTCGTCAGCCGTTATAATCGACTCACCGCGTCTGACGCCTCAAGGCGGCCATCTTTTGATTTGATGACGTCAGCTGACGCCTCAAGGCGGCCATCTTTTGATTTAATGACGTCAGCTGATGCCTCAAGGCGGCCATCTTTTGCATTGATGACGTCAGCTGACGGCTCCTGCTGTTTTGATTTTACGACTTCAGATAACGCCCCCTGCTCGTTTGATTTAACGACAACCTCCATCTCGGTCCTCTCCACTGCCCAGTCCTGGATCTCACCCGAGGCGAACACGATAAAAAACAGAGCTCCGAATGCATAGATTGCGCTGGCGATGTAAAACACGGTCTGCCATTGGCTCTGTGTTTGCTGATGGGAAGATAAGTTGGAGGATGTGGGTTATTTTTGTTTTCTATACAAAATAAATCAGAAAAAATGGAGAGAAAATAAGGGGAGTTAGGGGGTGTAAAGGTGTACGATCCTAAACGTGTTGAAATTATTCGAGCTACATTATTAAAACACATCTATCAATAAATATAATTCGCCAACAAAGGTCAAACAAGACGGATCAAACACCAAGCAGGCTATTTATAGATACATCAGAGCGTGGTTCAGTAATGAGTTCAATAGCGCGCAAAATATAATCCCCGATAACTACGCTAAATGATATATATATTTTTTTAATGACGCAATTGCGTTTGGTGAGTGATATTGTCTTTTCGGAAATGAAATCGTCTCAATTTAAGTATTGTGTCAAAAAGTTTAAAAGTGGTTGGGACATGAGAATATTAATATAGTTCATGGGCGTGAAATAAAAAGTGTGCAGTGACGTATCATGTGGGAAGGGGTGTAGCAAATATTGGGATTCTTAAATGTGCGTTACTTGAGTTCATGTTTTGTCAAGTAACTTTACTAGATCGGAAGTTCACGCATTGCTGTCGCCATTGTTTGGCGGGCTATATCTAGTTTATTGATATTACTACATCTTGAATATTTTGGTTATACATTGTTTAAATGATCAATCTTCTAAAACGTTCATTTAGCCAAGATTTTGGTAATTTCCATAGCTAAATATATTTTGATGGCAATGGTTAATATTTTGAAAATGTGGTTTGAAGAGGTCTATGGAAGCTCCATACTATCTTGGGAACATTATTTTTGTTTTGAAGTTCTTCCTTTACTATTAATTTTTTTCAAAACTTCATGAAATCACATTAACTTTTTTTTAGAGTTACTTTTTTATTAAAGATAAAATTTATTCAGAGTCATAGAAGAAATAAAATTACCCACCATGCACCTCGCTCAGTGAACGACTAAAGTCACAAACCATTTTATGATTTGATATACATGAATATTATGCCCTAGCTTTATTATGGAATAAGTTTAAAAATACGAATTGCCCAGTCTTAAGTCGCCACAGCAAGCACATGTTAAAAACTGCTCAGATAAACCGGAGACAATTAGTCACGTGACCGACTCAGTCTAATCAGATTGTCAATCAATTTCAGCAACACGAAAACATGCCCAAAGACCTGAAGCGTACGCCCGAGTGAATCTGCGATGACGCCTTGAACATAAACCATACAACTACGTCAATTAAGAAATCAATATTTTCATCCAGGACTGCACGACTCAAAATGTAAGGCGGGCCGTAATACTTTATGAAAAACGTATGCGGGCCGTAAAAAAATAGGACGGGGGGGGGGGAGCTATTAAGAAAATAATAATAAAAAAGAACATTTCGTTACTTCGCGGGCCGCGAATTGGGTGCTGGCAGACCGCGGGCCGTAGGTTGTGCAGGCCTGCTTTAAAGGATGTGATATCACGAATGCTTTGAGGGTCAGTAAAATGCAAGAGTGATGACCACATGGTGGCGTAGAAAGGTGGACGGAGCGGGTGTAAGGCCTCCGGAGTGTGTGGCGTCGTCAAGCCCTTAAGGTCACAACAGTTGGGATTGCACGCAGTAGATGGCTCTGTTAAGTTACAAAATTAGAGATGGTATACGTTCGTAGAGACCTCTAAGTTGAGATTGTTCGCAGTCGTCGAATAGTTTCAGTTACGACAACAGAGATTGTAAGCGATGGTCAACTTCTTTAAGTTAAAACATTTGCGATTTTACGGGGCAAACTTCTTTAAGTTATAACAGTTGAGGCTGTAAGCGGTGGTCGAGTCCTTTATGTTAAAACAGTTGAAATTATAGGGTTGCGACTCCTTTAAGTTACAACATTTAAGATTGTACACAAAGGTCGACTCCTTTCAGTTATAACATTTTATACTTGTAATCAAATTTATTTACAAAACTTGTCGAAGAGAAAAAATCATTGAGTACTATTTAGTGCTTTAAATCCTGATTATGACAGAGTATGAACATATATCTGTAGTAATGTAACCAATTACAGTAGGTGCAATAATCCTGATTATGACTGAGTATATACTTACATCTGTAGTAATGTAACCAATTACATTAGGCGCACTAATCCTGATTATGACAGAGTATGTACTTACATGTGTAGTAATGCAACCAATTACATTAGGTGCAATAATCCTGATTATGACTGAGTATATACTTACATCTGTAGTAATGTAACCAATTATATTAGGCGCACTAATCCTAATTATGACAGAGTATGTACTTACATGTGTAGTAATGCAACCAATTACATTAGACACAATAATCCTGATTATGACATATTATGTACTTACATCTGTAGTAATGCAACCAATTACATTAGACACAATAATCCTGATTATAACATATTATGTACTTACATCTGTAGTAATGTAACCAATTACATTTGGCGCAATAATCCTGATTATGACATAGTATGTACTTACATCTGTAGTAATGTAACCAATTACATTAGGCGCAATAATCCTGATTATGACCGACTGTGTACTTACATCTGTAGTAATGTAGCCAATTACATTAGGCGCAATAATCCTGATTATGACAAAGTATGTACTTACATCTTTAGTAATGTAACCGATTACATCCTGATTATGACATAGTATGTACTTACATCTGTAGTAATGTAACCAATTACATTAGGCGCAATAATCCCGATTATGACATAGTATTTAATTACATCTGTATTAATGTAACCAATTACATTAGGTGCACTTATCCTTATTATTACAGAGTATTTACTTACATCTGTTGTAATGTAACCAATTACATTAGGCGTAATATTCCTGATTATGACAGAGTATGTACTTACATCTGTAGTAATGTAGCCAATTACACTAGGCACTATAAACCCCGGCAGTGTGGCGAACGTATTTGACAACCCGAATATGATACCAGCATACTGTGGAGCGATGTCACCCGGGTTGGTGAGGAAGCCTGCTCCGTACTGGAACCCACTCATGGACACACCTATGACCAGTAGCGTCACAGCCCAACCGGCACGTCCACAGTCAAAATAGCCCACTCCCAGGACGAATATCCCGGGGACCAACAGGCCTAGGGGGGAAAAAATGATCAATTTGTTCAAAAATTTGGGATTTGGGTTATTAAGGGAACCAGTCTCAGTATATTTACTAGCTGTGTTACCCGGCGCTTCACGGATACTTTTTTTAAAAGATCAACGTTTACAACGATAACAATAGCAATAACGATCTGACAACAAAACAAAGGTCTTTAGAAACAACAATAGAAATATTAACAACAATACATAAAAGTACTAATACATATTGAATTAGCCACGGCAACAGCAAAATAATCCGAATAAAAATATGAACAACTACTACTACAGCGAGTAAAAACAAAAACAAAAACTAAACAAAACAAAACAAAAAAAATGGCAACAACCAAAGAAAAAAATTAAAGTAGGAAAAAAACCGGTAACGTTACTAATTTGACCGTGCACTTTGCCATGTTGATTTAATTTCGATAAGATTTGTCATTTTCCTTGTAAATATTTAACCCATAATGTATTCTATATTACTCCTATCTTTATTTCTACATTCTTGTAGTGTTTATTGAAACCACTCTAGCATTAACATTAAATAATAACTAAAAAAGAGTTCATTTCTCTGATAAAGGGAAATTTCAAATCAAATTATTATTTCAATTTTTAGACAAAGTAACATGAGGTGAAGTATAAACCTAATTTTAAAGATTTAAAAATGTAAGTTAAAAAAAAGAAGGAAAAACACTGATCTCTTATCTTTGATATTTGAGTTTCAAATTTTTTCAACCAAAGTATAAAATTACATAAATGTTTTATCTTTGACATCTACTAATCCAAGATGTTACCAAATACAAATACTTACACTGTGTTACAAACAACGGCTAGCCCAAAGTGTTAACTAACGACAGCAACACCTACTTACCTATGGTGCTACCAACTAAAGCTACTTAATCAAGGCGTTAACAGCTACAACTACTTACCCAAAGTGTTACCAACTTTTCTGGCCACTGTTCTGGTCACCAGTTGTTTGGACATGACAGCATCAAATGCCACACCAGAGATGTTAATGACAAGGAAGAAACCAATGTAGGGAAGGGCTGAGATGGCGCCGTTCTAAGAAACACAAGATATAACTAGCATGGGCAAATGATCAACTGCCGATGGAGCAGAGACTGGCTAGGTCGGGTAGATAAAATATGCATCTTCAACGGAATGCAGTGAAAGATTTGGAGAGGGAAGGAGAGGAGCCAGAGGAAAAGGGAATTTTTAATAGTGGTTTATGCTTTCCAAATATATTTGTTGTAACGTTCAGCCGTCCCTAAGTTCAATTGTTTAATATTTGGATTTGTGCGCGTTCAGTGTCATTTAGTGTTCCTCAATTTGATTTCGTATCCATTTATTATTATTTTCGTAGCTTAAATCTGGTAACTTTGTGTGTGTGTGTGTGAAGAAAAGGGGGAGGGGGGTTGTGGCATTATGATATCTAGTTCCAAACTTTTTTTGTTTTGTTTTTTGTTTGTTTTTTAATGTTTGTATTCTTCATAGTTTTGTTTCCACAGTGATTTAGTCGGGCCGCTCCACCAACGTAATGAACGCTCGATCAAACAACACACCGAAGTCTGACGTGCTAGTAATGGACTTCACAAAAGCATTTGACCGGGTGAATCATAGTTTGCTTCTACACAAACTCCAGATATATGGGATTCAAGGCACCACTAAAACATGGATCTCTAGCTTCCTCAGCCACCGACGCCAAGCAGTAGTGGTGGGCGGTACAAGCTCCTCCTTTGTCAATGTGAAGTCAGGGGTCCCCCAGGGATCAGTCCTGGGCCCCTGTTTGTTCCTAGCATACATTAATGACCTACCGGAGAAACTGACATCACAGGCAAGACTGTTTGCAGATGACACAGCAGTGTATAGGACGATCGCCAACAGATCTGACCAGGACCAGCTACAACAGGATCTCAATCTGTTAGCTGAGTGGGAGATGAGCTGGGACATGGAATTTCACCCTGCCAAGTGCCAGACACTATCAATCTCTAGAAGTTGTACTCCTCTACACTACCAATACAAACTGCACGGCCATATTCTTGAGCAAGTTTCCTCCGTAAAGTACCTGGGTGTTACCATTCAAAGAGAGGTCCGCTGGGACGAGCATATTAACAATGTATGTAACCAAGCAAACCAAGCCTTGGGGTTCTTAAGGCGAAATCTAAAGATTGGCAACTCCTGTGTGAAAGAAAGAGCATATAAAGCCTTTATCCGTCCGATTTTAGATTATGCATCTTCAGTCTGGGACCCATTTACCCAGAAGAGCATTGACAGGTTGGAGGCGGTCCAGCGACGAGCAGCACGCTTTGTCCTAAACCGCTACAGGAATACCTCTAGTGTTGGCAGCATGCTAGAAACACTAGGCTGGTCACCATTGGAGAAACGACGACGACAATCCAGGCTCTCCATGATGTACAAGATAAATAATGGGCTGGTTCACTGTTCCAGTATTAAACAGAAACTCGTCCCTCTCCCCCATAGACAGCGACGAGGCCATGACAGGCAATTCAGGCTCATACCAGCAAGAAGCCAGTATAGGAGCTGCTCATTCCTGCCCAAGACAATCAGTGACTGGAACCATCTTTCAAAAGGAACAGTTGAGGCGACAACACTAGACAAATTTGTGTCTATTGCCTCAAGCCTTCAAACCCCTAGTGCATAATTTCCTCATCACCAACAGTAACAGAAACATTGCAAATCCCATCTTCATGCATAGGAGCCAAAATGATCAATAAATTGATCGTGGGCCCTTAAGATATAGAAGAAGAAGAACTCAGTCGCTCACACCTTCTGCGCATATCGAAGAATGACGCAAAAACTATTGTGGTCATTTTATATTCAGCTCGGGGGTGACTTCGTTGGTTTGATTTTTACGTCACAGTTTCCCTATAATGCTACATCTGAATCCATCATGGCAAAATGTTGAAGAATAAGATAAAATCTTTGTTTAGTTATGAAAATTTTTACGTATATATTAAAAAATTTTTTTAGGTCTGACGTGACACTAAGTGGGAAAGGGGGGGGGGGTGGAGGAAGGGTCAAGAATTTATGACACTTTGTGACGGGGGAACGGGGGTGTGAAAAGGTCATTTTCGGCGTGATTCAATTTCCAAACGACTCCAACAACAACAAAACAAAAAATTAAATAGAAATCATTGAAAGCTACCGCACCGTAAAACGACCCCCTGCCCTGCACTTTATTGCGGCACATTTCAAACACACATTTTGTAACCTTACGCCCGCCAAACTGTCACAATATTTCAGGGACTTTTTCCATCACGCTAGATTACTCAAGAGACAACGATGGAATATTTCTTGTCAACGTACTCCCCAACAAATAGTTCAACCGATTTTTTTTACCAAACAATTTAAACATGATTCTTCGACCGACCGCCTGTTTTTTCTGTCAGACAACCGATTTTTTGCAGTCAACACAAAAAAAAAAATAATAAAAAAAATTAAATAACTAACTTATTTTATCAATTATCTGAGCCACTAAAAGATTGAATTTCCCCCTCTATCACTCTCTCTCTCTCTCTCTCTCTCTCTCTCTCTCTCTCTC